ATTTCTCTTAACGAAGAAGAAAAGTACAATACGCGACTCTTCCTTCTAATTATAAAGCATTATGATCTAATTATAAAGCATTATGGTCCATTATATTAACGCTTTTTGCTAATATCAAATGCTCCTATCAAATTCTTAAGATCTCAGACTAATTACGACTCTTTCGGCGCTCTCAGCTTATTAAATATATTTTATTCTAACGCGAGGAATTCATAATTTTTGTATTCGTAAAATTGAAAATTTTCATATTTTGTAATGCAATAATTGCGAAGGGAAAAGATCAAAGACAGATTAGCGGTAGCATAAATAAGCTAAATCAAAGGTAATTATAAATATGTAGGAATAAATCTAATTAAAAATCTCGCACGAAGCAAAGGGAAAGGCTTTTTAAATTCTGAACACCGCACGAGAATGGAGACTCGACTGTGTCTCCAGCCAGAAAACGAGCGATACCGCGATATATCGCCGCAATTAAGTTCTGAATCATCGGATTATCGTCCCGGATAGAGGGGCTTTTAAGCCTCCGGAGGCGTCGAGACTCCTTCATCGAAGAGGCACACAGAGATCCCCAAACTGCCGTTGCACTTTTTGCCTCGGTTTATCCTGTCTTCATCCTCCTTAACGATCTTCTTAACAAATTTAATTAAGCCCCGACGGCGGGCAGCTTCTTTGCGCTGCATGGACTTAACCCTTCGCGAAATTAGATTCGCGCGGTTTTCACGCCGGGATTCATGCGCGTAATCAGGATACCGCACCTTCTCGCGGCTAATACACTCAAAGTAGAGGGTATTTTAATACTACATTGAGATATACCGTGCGCGATTTTCAAGCTCGATACGAAATCTTAACGAAGAAAAAATAGGAAGTAGATGAGTCCCTCCCCGCTCCCGGGACTCGACAAATTTCATGATTGCGCGAGTAACCGCGATGTATCGAACAGTTCGGGATAATCCGGTCGTACCGGAAAACTGATTATTCTAATTGCTCTCGTCAGCAAAATAATATTCGGTCCCGCGCTTGTACTTCTCGCAATTGCGAGTTCCAGCTGTTTCCGGCTCGCCCGAGAGTTAGGGTGCAAGGCACGTTTCATTCGAAGGAGAGGAGGGGGGGGGGAGGGAAAGGGTGATAATGAGTCATGTAAAATATGAGAGTACGCACGAGAATATTAATCGTTGGAAAATTAATAATCTGCGGCGAGGTTGTAACTTCGTTGCAGCGTTCTTCTTTGTACATAATTAGAAGCAGCGCGGCTCTCATCAGTGGTTATTATCAAGAGACAGGATGGCTACTACGCTATCCTGTCTCTATCGCTGTCAGCTTTCTTCTCATTATGGCCCGTGGAACTTGTTTATAGGCACGCCGCGCTGTATCACTCTGTTACACGTACACGTTTCATATACAGGCAGCCATGTTCATCTTCACCGCTAGTCTCTTGACTAGCTCGTCATAATAACGTTGATATCGATCACGGAAAGTTCGTATATTCCGCGTGTATTCAATCGGAATTTCAATTTCTGACGGCAACAAATAGATATGAAATTGGAATTTTGTTATAATGCGAGGACGTATTCGACGTATTTTCACACCTGTAATTCAGCAATAATGCAGAAACACGTGTGTACACAATGTTTTCGGGAAAATCACGCGCGAGATACGACAAGTTCCTGTCCGTGCGATTTTGCAACGTTATATTTTTTTCGAATTATCGAACGCAAGAGTGAATCCACTTGCATCTCGTATGCATTGACTGTACCGTTTAATTATCGCGATATAAATCAACGCGAGACTCGCTTTCGACGAATGAATTATTTCTCTAAGAGTAATTTTTAATGGCAGCTATTCGCCTCCCGGAAGGGAACGAAAGCGAGTACGCTTGCTGCGTTTTCCACGCGGAAACTCTCGCGCGATTCTTTTTACCGGAACAAACAAAAAAAAGTTCATCCCATCAGTTGGACCGCGAGGTTCATTATTGCGTAAAACCCGATCGAGTGGACTTCGTCTCGTAGTCTCGACAGTTTTGACCGATCGCGTGAAATTTTGACCAGTGCGCAAAAACGAACGCGACGACGGGCAGCAACGTTTTCAACTTCCAGCAGAAACATCGTTGCGCCATATCGACGCGCAATAAAATCGGACGTATAAAAAAAAAAAAAAAAAGGAATCGACGTCGCGCGGTATCACCGCAATTTCATTTCGCGAAACGTCGATGGAAAAGACATTACGCGGTTTTTTATTCTCGTTGTTGTCGAACACGTATGTAAAGCGACCGCGCCGTCGATGTTGACGCGGGCTGCGTCATCGAGCCATTAAAAGGAAGGCATTCGATCCTTTAACGAAATAACAGGAACGTTCCGTCGAACCGCTTGTCAACCGCCGTGAAATCTTTCATGACGGCCCGCGGGGGCGGGGGAATGGGGGGAGAGGATAAAAGCGCGTACGAGTGTTTATCGCGAAACACCGCCCCGTGCGATAGTCGACTTGTTAGTTGAATACGATACTGGCAGCGGGTTAACTCTTGGCGATTGAGGCGCAATTGCCACTGACCGAGATGTGATATTTCACGATATCGAAATCTACATGCGATTGAATTTGGCGGCTGGTTTGGTCGTATCTCGCCCGTGGCGAATCAATTTATTGGATTCTTTCTCTGCAGCACGTATGCCCGGTGCTTTTTACATAAGGTTTCCAACTGTACGCGTACATAAGGTATTTATATCGGAGTAAGGTAATTGCGATACCCAGATTTGACATCAAGCATTTGAGAAAAACGAGTAACTTGTACATTCTATTTTGCACATTGATGCTATTATCAGTCTCATTGGCGTTTTTATTAAAAGGCTCTTTTTTGATGTATTTTTAAATGATATAGAAAAAATTTTCTAAGATTAATTAAATTTTTGGATGATGGACTGCTGCCTTCTATCGTTATCGATTTTGACGCTACGATATAAAGATATATTGTCCTATTCTTAACTCTTAACTCACCCTTAGCCGTTTAATGTTGTCGCGACCTTCTTTTATTAACCCTTAACTGATATGTAGCGATATCACAGATCACCGCCTTTGTTCCCATCCCTTCATTTTCCTCGTTCTTTAGTCTTAGAACCTCTACTTTTCTTCCATCTGTTTTCATATCTTTTAATAACAATATAAGTGTTTTCTTTTCTCTTCATATTTTTATTTTGCACGTAACTACGATAATCTGAGAGATGTCAGAGAAAAAAAAGAGGGAAGAAAAAAAAAATAAATCATGCTGGCTAAATGTTAATTTAAATTCATCGCCGAGAAAATGCGTGTATAAATATTTTTGTAACATTACCAAATGAGAGACGGCATATTAAAATTTAGCTTAAATGTTCTCAAATAATATTTAATGCAATAGACAAAAAAATTCAACCATCCCTATTCGCACGGTGTCATGTGCGTCGAATAACGCGGGCCGCAAAATTCGCCACGTTG